GCAAACTTCGTGATACGCAGATTCTAACTCCTGAAATTGAGATTGAGAGTAAATAATGTCGCTTCATAATATATATGACCTACCTTGAAATCTTCCAATCTCATTTTTCGAAATTCTTTTTATTGGTAGTGGATAGTTAGACGAATTAATATATTCTGGATCGTTGTCAGTTCTGTGTAAACAATTACAGCACATAATTGTCCCTTGTGGTAGTTCAAAGAAATTGATCAAATGTTCCAGAGCCTTCTTCATACTTTTTGCTTCTGTACCTGAAGAAAAATAAAACTGATGTTTTGGATGAGAGCATGTCTTATTCTTTTTAAGCTTTTTGGCGGCATTTACAATCAATTTATTGTAATGCTTTCTGCACAGAGCTTTTTCAACCAAATCAAGATGTTGACTAGAACTTGGTATTAGCACCCGATCAGACATGGTAGAGGCCCCATACTGCTCATAATTGCAGACGACACCCTCTTTACCTTCTAAATCACAGTACCGAACCTTCCTTTTCCCCTTTTTTTCACTGGAAAAGGTTGAATCCTCATGAAAAGCTTGCTGTGCAGACATTCTTACTATATACTCTTTTTTCTTAATTATGCTGGTAATAAAAATGTAAAACAAATGCTTCTTAGCTAACTTCCGAATTACTTAACTGTTACTCGAATTACTTTAACAGTTTATAGATCTGAAGGTGTTCTTTCGATTTTTTTGGTATCAAGTTTTGCCAAGCCGTATCCGTGGCTGCCAAGCTATTTTTGTCACTGAGAAACTTTACGCCAATATGTAGAACATATTGTGTAACATTTCATATCGATCATCTAATCAAATTAAAGCCCGATATGTTTATGTATGTACTTATTAATTTCATGGCAGCAACTTAAAGCACAACATTATCACATTTATTACATGTTGATTGAAGGTTAAAATAGACAATAAAGATATTTACGTAATGAACAAAACATTATATGTATGTAATTCCTGTCACGTACTAGGTACGTACGTACGCACGTTGTAAAAGTGTGGATTTGGGTCATCGAGTTTCATAGCCTAAAATACAACAAAATCAAGGCTACTCGAATGAAGACGTGGAAAATCTGATTCGAGAACCAAGGATCCTACTACCGCTTGTATCCCCGAGTTAGATGGTCTTTATTATTATGATTCTTATTTATCTATACACACTCTGTTCGTTTAGTTATAATCAATGGGCTTTTATACATTACAAACAGCATCGGGGAGAATCTATGGCTAACGATAAGCAATTCATACACATTTACATGATAATGACTTTAGTTCCCACTATGTTAATAATAGAGACGCCTTACTATTGCTCTCAATAACGCTTCGCCAAACCCGAATTAGCATTATGTCTTCGTTTTTGTCGATAAAATGTTTAAAGTTCATTTATGTCAGGGTTAAGGTCTATGTTAGGGTTAGAATTTAAGAATTCGATCAATAAAATGCTCAAAGAACATTTTTGTTAGTGCATGAAAGGTACGTTTGTTTTGAATTTTCCTGATCGTGCTACGTTTCAGGGGTCATGATTCACTATTGGCCGATTGGCACGGAATAGTAAAAAATTTATTACTGTATAGCGCGGACCACGGTACCCCGGTATAATACAATCTACAGACAAAATTTGTATAATACCCGGGTACTATACTAAGCGATTTTTCAGATGAAAAGTTTTTTTTTATATAGGATATATCCACTGGTTATTTTACATTCCACCATGAAATTTTTTAATATGGGTACTTTGCACGGAGGTACCGTGGTCAGCGTTGTACGGTATTGATTTATTGACGCACCTGAATTAGTTCATTTCGGGTCCCAAGTCATATGACTTGGATCACGTTTTCGGTAACTGCGGCTAGGTCACATTACCCCGCTACAACGTACGTACGTACGTGTGTATTTATGTACGTTTAAGTATGTACGTACGTACGTACGTACGGTACCTTGATACACATCACATCTGTATGCAACAAGCATTCAAGGAGATTTATACTATTTGGCACGAAGGATACTTTAAAACGGTAATTACGAATTAATTTAGGTCATACAAAGTGTTTATTACCGTTATTCAATGATATTTCTAAAAGTGGAAGTGAACTTACACTTGTATCATTTTTGATATTAAAGTGGAAGTTAATGTTTTTATATAAATAGATTAGTTTTTGTTTACGATAAACTCAGCCCTACAAAAAATACTGGAGCATTTTTTAGCTCAGTTCAACAATCAGGATGTACTTGGTTAATAAAATTAATAATTGTTGCGGCTGCATTCCCCTAAGAGGGGGAGTTATTTTCATAACAATTTTTTCTTTGGTAAGTTAAATTGTGAAATTGAACGCAATACGTGCGTACGTTTGAGTTTACGCACTATAATATAGTAATTTTATAAAATTTTAACATTTAGGTCGGATTGGCATATATTGCTCTTTGTGATATATTAGCAATTGCGGACAACGATTGTAAGTGTTATATTTTGTTTAATTTTCCTATTTTATTTCGTTGGACGCTAACATAATTAATTTATTTCTATAGATAATGTTGGAGTAATTATGGACTTAGCTATAAGTGTCTCATTCCTTCCTGTAACCATTTTTGGGCTTTTCGCTTGTTGTTTTGAGGTTTGTCTATGCAGTGTGATGAGCACTGTATGATGCAGTATATTTGTAATTATATTATTATTATTATTATTAATATTTTATTTTATTACATAAGAAAACAGCACATCTTTTGAGAATTTATTCTATACTTTATAATGTCTTTACGATTGTTGAGATCCTTGATTCATTGGCTGCAATTGCTATTATTATTGCGCATACAAACACCAGTAGTTTGCCTAAAGATGATATAGAATTGATAATTATTAATGTCTTGATAATTGTTTTTATGGTAGGTTTTATGTAATTTGCATTTATCAACTTTAAAAAATACTAAATCATTAATCATTTTGTTTGTGCGTTACAGATTTATTTTTCTTTGATTATTTCTGCTTATGCTGCAAACCGTAAGGTTAAAGAAGAAAAAGTTGCTCATTCAACAAATAATGCTTCGGAAAGTAATGATCCTTCAGCGCATAAAATTTCTAATGGTAATACTTCTCCAGAACATGAGACACCATTACGCACTGTCAGTGTTGCTGAGGAGTGCTAATTAGAAAAATATAGTTATCGTATATGTGATTTAAATTTTTATATGTTCAATGTGCTTTTGTCTTATTTATTTTTTAAAAATTTATGAAATTTTGTCCGTAAAAAATTATTTGTCTGTGAAAGATTACTTTAAGTAAATAACCATTTTTCATCTTACATTCGCTTTTATTTTATATTCTTAAATTCATCATTTTAAATTTATCATTTTACATTCTGTGATAACTTAATTTCTAAAACAAAAAAAAATACTAACGATAATGATTAGATATACTGTACGTAATAGGATGTTAAATAGTTCATCGGTTCTAATTCTAATTCAAAACCGATAGATCAAGTTCAAACTACAGTAGTTTATTAATAAATAATGATGTCATTTGGATCAGTAGTATTTAATAATACTATTCAAACTAATAGTTTAAATCTTATTAGTCATGTAGCACTGAGATCACGATTGTCAATACAAAATAAGTAATAGAGTTAAAAACATTCAAAATATATTAATAAAAACAATACACACCAAAAAATATTAAGAGTGAAATATCGATTCTCATTTACTAAAATAATAATATTTTATCTGGGCTAAATTCTTTGATTAACTAAAAAAAATACTTTAGAACTGATTTAAGCATAACGATAATTTGTGGCATATTGCTTATTGGATTGTGTAATATGTATTCCTATTATAAGTATGATCAGTGTTTAATTTTTTGAATATCGTTATTTATATTGTTAGAGCCAGTACTTCTTGTATTATTTTGTTGTTGCTTTTGAACTCATTGCTAAATATATTGTTTGTTACTTTTAGATCTTTATTTTGGTATTGTCAATCTAGTTCTATCTTGAAGCTATCACTTATTTGTGCTTTTGTATTTTTGTAGTCTTGTATTTTTGTACTTTTATATTTTTGTACTCTTGTATTTTTGTACTTTTTGTATTTTTGTACTTTTATCTTTAAGCACCTTTGTATCCTATTTTGATATTTATTAATTAAATTAGGGTTAGAAGTAAGCGGTTCATTAGTAGAATTTCATAAGGAAAAACTATATTATTTACAGCACAATGAGTGGTTTCTAATTAACGTTTGTGTTACTTTACAAATTTGTCTGATTTGCTGGTGATCATGTGCCCCCAATTTTTTTTGTCCAACGTAATTGTTACTTCGACTTTGATTATTCCCAATTTAAGTTTTTTTAAATTTAGGTTGTAATTTTGCTTGTGTAACTTCACCACTGCAGTGACCAATGTCAATGTACGCCAACGCCAAACTAGTTTATCAGGGATTGTGTTACTTACTATACAGCCAATTTAATACAGTACAGTTATCGATGTTATTACATAACGATAACGTTAACAAAAATTGTCCAAATACTGTATTAGAAATTTTAAAGAAATTGTTGTAAGGATAATTTTATATGCCTTTTTTTTTAATTTCTTTTTAAAAATGTCAAATAATCTAATTGTAGAACATCCAGAAAAAACCCTCAATTCATCTGATATTATTCAAATAAATGATAAATTTAGCCAATTAAATTTACAAGATAAAAAGTCGTCGGATTTTTTTAGTCAAATTGTTAAAGAATTATATAAGTTATATAATGAAGAAAGATCCAAAGCAAAAAATTCTGAACAAATTATTAATATTTTAGATCAATTTCTAATAAAAAAGAAACATAACCCTGACAAAATTATCGATTGGTGCTTGGAAAATCAAATTAATCCTATGGCCCAAATCATTCTTGCAAGTTGTTATCGTTTTGGTAAATGGATTGAAAAGGATGAACATAAAGCTTTTATTTATTATCAAAAATCTGCTGATATGGATCTTGCTGAAGGTACTTTTTGTGTTGGTGTTTGTTATGAAAAAGGTATTGGTGTTATTAGAGATGAAAATATGGCTTTCATTTATTATCAAAAAGCTGCTGATATGGGTCATACTTTTGGAATAAATAATGTTGGTTGTTGTTATCATTTTGGAATTGGTGTTGAAGAAGATGAATATCAAGCTTTCATTTATTATCAAAAATGTGCTGATATGGGTAATGCTGGTGGTTTAAATAATGTCGGTTATTGTTATCTTTATGGAATTGGTGTTGAAAAAGACGAGTGTAAAGCTTTCATTTATTATCAAAAATCTGCTAAAATGGGTCATACTAATGGAATGTCTAATATTGGTTATTGTTACCTTTATGGAATTGGTGTTGAAAAGGACGAATATAAAGCTTTCATTTACTACAAAAAATCTGCTGAAATGATGCTTGATATAAGATGTAACGTGATAAATTGCCCTTATGTTTGATTCTACAGTATGATTAAATTTAGTTATCTCGATGAGTTAGTCTTTTAATTTCCAACATTTATTTTGGTGTCTCGTAATTCAAAAATTATGATTCATGATTTTGCAATTTCATCACTTCTAATTAAGAGGATAGCCATTTGTCGAAACACCATAAAATTACTTAGAAATATTTTAATATAATTTTATTTTAGAGTAAATAGATTAAATTTTGGAATAAACGGGATTACAAAATTTTACACCTAACTTACATATAATCATATTTGCTATTTTTCATGAAATTGTATATAAGGATAATGATATAAAAAGGACACTTATTTATTATCAAATTCTATACAAAATTAGCGGGATTATATTTCTTGTTTGTTATTTATACAATTCTGGCGAGAGTCCCCTTTAACAATTTCTTTTCACCAACCATTTCCTGATATTTCACTTCCTTAATATTTCAAATTTTGACATTTATTAATTCAAGCATTTAAAATAAGATATTCAAATTCATGAAAATTTATTATACAAATTTCATTAGATTTGTTATTTCAGAGGTGAGTATAAGGGACATCAGTCTAATTTAACATAAACTATTCAGCTTCATGAATATTTACCATTCAATTTCACTTTATTTGCGCCAATTTAGATGTGAATAAGAAAAGTCGTATGAATAAGGTGAATATAAAGCAATCATTCTAAAGAAATTCTAAATATGAAAATTTTGCACATCATAGTATGGCATCAAGGATGGAAAGTGAATTAAACTATTGATAATTGTAAGAAAATTTTCAATTTGAACTTAATCTGAACAGATATATTCCATTTTACAGGTTAATTACATATTACAGAAGGATTTCGTACTGCATTTCCTGCAACCAAAAATTGAAAAGTAAATGGAAATTAATAGCGATAGAGGTAATTACACAAGAGATGCGATTCGTATAGCACCGTTGCTTTATCTGTTGCTAAAAAGAATTTTTCATGATTTTTTTTGAAAAATGGTACAGTCAACTCTGGATATACCGAACTGCATATTCTGGAAGGTTTTGTTCGGTATAGAATGGGTTCGTTATATTGTTTATTTTTTCTATACCGAACAGTTCGGTATACAGAGCTAACCAATGAAATCATGTGTAGTGACATCTTCGGAACTTCTCGGAACTTCCCTCGAAATTTTTGCTCCAGTTCGGAATATTTAGGAACCGGTATTATATACAAACAGATAGTTCGTTATATCAAATATGTGTACATGGTCTTGGGCTGGTAAAGAAGAGTTCGGATGCGGTATATAAAAATTTACTATATAGGTTCGGTATAGGCAGCCTAAATTCTTAGATCTGGTTCGTTATAACCCGAGTTCGGTATAAACAGGTTCAGTATATCCAGAGTCGACTGTAATTATTTATTGTCTGTTTATTGTACGTATATTGAACTAATTCATTTATAAAGGTTAAGATACATGGATTGATTCAAGAATATTTGATTGTATTTCAATAAATAGATCTTCAAGCTTTGTTAGAAAAATTCTCAAGGCACTTAATAATATTTTTAACAATATACTGTAGATTACATTCATAGAACAGAATATGTTCATAAATATTTTCAGAGTAATAATATGTTGCACAATAAAAGCGTTAGTAAAACAATCCATCATTTACACGATGTGTCATGTAAATTTTTCATATATAAAATTAAAATAAAAATCTATATAAAATTATAATAAACATAGAAATTTTAAAATTAAATTTGGCGATTAAATAGATCAAAATAAGAGAATGAGTTTACCTTTACTGTACCGTCAAATTTAAAATTGCGCAATTTGATTCATTATGTAACAATACAAAAAACCCAGAAGATGGAAAATGCTAGTGAACATACAATCCTGGAAATTGCTATCTTTATTGGAATTGAAAAGGACGAACATAAGATATTAATTAATTTTACAATACAAAAACTAGCCGGAATGGAAAATGCCAGTGGAACATATAATCTTGGAAATTGCTGTTTTCATGAAATTGGAGTTGTAACAGAAAATATCTATAGCTATAGCATATTTTAAATAAGTAAAAATATTTCAAATATATTCCGTAAATTCTCGAAATAGCGGGCAGGGGCGTGCTATTTTGACTACGTGCATGCTATTTTGAGTATGCCCATGGGCGTTATTTTGAATAAATAAGTTAATTTTTTGAATATAGAGTTTTTCAAAATAACACCCATATGAATTGTATAATGAAATGCGCATTATTTCAGGGCGCGCATGGGCGTTATTTCGAAACCAGATATAAAATTTTTAGGGGGCATGATTTTCGAATTAACGCCATGCCTGCTATTTCGAGAATCTATGGTAGTTTGAATTGATTATAAATTATTAGAGTTATGCCTATCTTAAAAATATTAGTATAAAACTATTATAGATAAAGTAGTATAATTTTTAGAATTTGGTAATAGCATTTTTTATTTGGCATTTTTGTTTTTGTAATATTTATTATACTAAGGTTATATGAAAAACAGATATATATATATATATATATATTTAAACTTGGCTAAGAAAGCCAGTGAAGCCTTTATTAGATCTACTCATAAGTATATGCATAATTTTTAAATTATTTACAACCTATTACTAAGCTATGCTAACCCAACCAGTAATCTGACATTCATCCAGCTGCTCTAATAGGTGCCCAAATATATCCTAGTTGCATCATCAGCATACTATGGCTAAAACCAACACTAGCAGTCAGGATAACTTCCACTCTGAAGGGCCATTGCCATTAAACCGCCTGCTAATAGGAAGGATCAGACCCGTATCTGATGCTACTCCTGCATCATGAAACTACTATATCTAGCTAAACTATCACCCACCTTTTTGCTTCTATACAACTCTCAAATTGGTAACATTTAGGTTATAGATCTTAGTGATCTTCCAGTTTGGTGTGTCATATTATTTATTCCTCTAAGATATTCCAGCATTGGTTTAGGATCTGCAGGAACTTGTATCTCAAGCCAGAAACTGCTGCCTAGTTAGATTTACCAAATGACAGAGTTGGTATTTTATTGTCAGGTATTCTTTTCTACATTTCTGCTCAGGTATTATAATCTGTATTTCAAGCAAGTTTCTGCTGCTATAGCTCAACTTTAGGTTTCCAAGTCTTAACATTATGCAGTTGCTCAGTGCTTTCATCTGTTCTTTTAAGTACTACCTGCTATAGTGGAGTTTAGATTATATTTTGCAAGTATATAGAACAATTCTAGTTGTTTCTTGGGAGTTACATAGAGTTTCAATCCGGATAAATCCATTATCCATTTACCCGTATTAATATAACCGGATATCTATCCATTTATGTTGGATATCCGAAACAGATTAACTGAATCATCTGAAGTATTAGGGAGAACCATTCTAGTATCACTACTCTAAAAAATTTCCCGGGCCAAATCAATTTCAAAATCAGGTATTAGGCAAAAAAACATGAAAAATCAAAACAAACTAAAAAATCCTGTATAGTTCACGTTTTATCTATGAAATTACCTTCTGCGCACTAACAAAATTGATTTCTTTGTGACATTTTAACTTTAATTGCCAACTTTAATTTATAATAAAAATATATTCGGCTTAGTTTTTACTATATATATCTTCTATATATTTAAATTCAGATCCTTCACAAATGAATATTTTTATTTACTACAATTTATATGAATCTGACCTCAAAGAATGGTCTAGGATTTTTGACTTTAAAGAATATACTTAATAAATGTATTCTTTTAATTCAATATTTTAAATGCCTGAGAGAATATTCTAGTAAAAGTTAGACTTTTTGACAAATTCTTGGATCAGACTTATGGAAAAATATAAAAATAAAGATTTAGGCTTTGGCTTTGTGTTATAGTATAAGTGATACTGTTTCTACCAAAAAATAAATGTTTGTTCTGTTCAATTTAGCAACTTTTTGTCCAATCGCCTATAATTAATGAATCAATATTATAGCAGTTTCATTAACAATATATATCAACAAAAAATAATAAATTTACCTCTAATAAATCTTCTGGATAATCGCAAAGCAAGCAGTATTGTAAGTAAACACGATTAGGTTGCTTGTTTACCTATAATCGATTATTAAAGATGCGTTGTAAATATCTATGCAAAATATTAACTATTAAAGCCTTCTTACCTTTGCAGCCATTGATTTGAAGACAGTAGTTACATCATTCGTTGTCTTTTTTAACACGTCTAACATCGGTTGCGTTATATTAATCATGCGCATTGTGACAGACTGATGTTGCTGTTTAGAACTTAATGTTTCTTCGTTTTGAGGAAGATAAAATGAAGCAAGCACCTTAACAGTTAATAATGAATATTCTCGTAAGTCCTAATAATTAGTTGTGTATACTTAAAGCTTGAAAATACATAAGTGACCCTTACATCGTAAAGTTCTGACATTAACAATGCTTCTAGTATTGCATCTTTTGGAAACAACCATTTATCATTTTTGGTTTCCTTAAAATCTAACAGGACTTCATGTTTAACAACCGTCTAACTTTCATTGCAGGAGACTGTGTTCGTAAATGAACTGATTGCTGCTGAGATTTCTGTTGTGCTAATTGTGTC